TGAGGACTACAGGCATTCTAAATACGCCAACGCAGCGTCGCAATCGCAGCTACTTGAGCGGATATTTACCTTTGTGGCACAAATTGGCGTGACGGTACGTGCGTAGTACCGGCAGTCAACGCAAGCAGCAGCACGTTCGTCGGTTATTGCTTCTATTCGCGGACTGTAAAATGGAATTGACCTCAATAAACTGGCGACACAACAATCGTGAGTCATTTGGTCTCCAGACTCTGGACGAAGGTCAAGGAGGGTCAGGCAGGAAGTGGGGAAGTTATTGGAGTTGCCTAAGGGTGTGTCTGGGGCAGATTTTGTTTCGAAATCGAATATTGCAAAATTTATAGAAAATCGACAAAAATTGTTGAAAACTGGTGGCCATATTGTTACGCGCTGTACTTTACATACCTATTTGTTTATCACTGGTGTATTTAAAGGGGGGGGATTTTATAACGCTTTTAAAGAAAACGGTGATCTAAGTTATTACAGTTAGAAGTTTTCATAACATATGCGTTACTGTATCTAAAGTACTAAATATTTGTATGAGATCACTATTTATACGCACAACTCGATCCTCATGCAAGATATTCCTAGCTAGCTCCTAGCTCACAACAACATGTTCTCCCATTAATCGTAGGATAACTTATTGTTTGAATGATGAATTTCGTACCAAAATTTATGCATTCACACAATAATTGTGCATTGCCCTACTGATGTTACTATAACAAGTCTCAAGGGAAGAGTTTTGGAGGCCGTTGATCGTTTGATCACCGAGTGGTAATTAAGGAGGTTTCTATAAAACTGTACTAAGGCTAATACATCACTTTATTTTGTGATATGAAAGGGTTTATATTGTGATTATTTCTGGTGTAGGTATTTGGAAGCAGAATATTGTGCTCCAGTAGAAACAGTGGTCAGTGTATACAGGGTGTTCACAAAAGGTAGAGACATAATTTACATAGTGATTTATTGGGACAAAATAAAGAGAAGAACAAGAATAAAACTGGTAAAAATCACTTTGTAAATCAGATATCCACCACTTTGTATTTTTACATACAGTACACATTTTTATCTTTGGACTGTTACAACCGACCTTTATGAAACTAAGTAAAAATGTTGTGGTAAAAGTGGGTAGAAAAAATGTTTGTCTAATTTAAAATTTAATTAAAATCTAAATTAAAATTTTGTATGGAGGTTGTTTAAAAAAGGTATCAGCCAATTTTCGTAATTTTAAATTTTGATTTGGATCAAGATATTTTTTACCACATGGGTCACTTCTGCCTAAAAATACATTCCAATTTTCATAAATATTGGTTGGAACAATTCAAAGATAAATGTTTTATGGAAAAATACAAAATAGCGGAGTCCAGACTTTCCGCCAGCTTGTAAACTCATTACAATATATTTTTCCTACAGTCACCCGACAAAGTTGGCTTCCTTGTACTGTTTATAGTACAGAAAGCTGCTAATTGCTGCATATTTATACTTTGCCGTACGGTTTATACTTTGTCGTACGGTTTATACTTTGCCGCACATCAGGATTCCAACGAAACAACACAAATCAGCGTGGTTCTATTATGCACGTAATCCGTGTACGCTTGGAAATAGGTTGGCAACACTTAAAGATAATAATACTATGAGCAGCTGATTGACTATTATAACTACGATTTAACCTGTCATTTCGTGTTTATAGTTTCGGTATTTTATAATTTCTGAACTTTCTGGACTTTTCTTTGAAACGTTTTTAAAACATTCCTACGATCTTAATAAACAAGAAAATACCTTTAAAGCATTTTTTTAGGCGCGGAAACCACTTCAAATTACAAAAACATACGGAACTATATTCTCAAAACGGGGAGCACATTTCTTACCGAGGAAAAATCGCGGAGTGATACGGACCGCGGGTACTACTTTCTCTAGGGCACCATTTGTGTTGCCAGCTGAACCTAAAAACGTGTTGTATAGTGTTTGAAAGACTAATTATTTATATGCTTTATAGTGACTGTAGGAAAAATATAATGTGTAACACGAGTGAAAAAGGCCTTTGCTGCACTCGAGATCATTCCACACTCGCCTGCGGCTCGTGCGTAAACATTGCTCTCGTGTGCAGCAAAGTGCCACTTTCACCACTAGTTACACAAATAACTATATTTTCACTATACTGCTATGAGTTAAGCTGTTTTCGTTACCGTATGTGTTTACAACCTGCGAAACGTCATATTTTCAACAGCAGCTATCTATTGTTTGCTACCAAAAGTAACATTGTTTACAACTAAAATTTTTCCACTGTCAACAACTTCAAATACCTATTTGTTATTGTTTTATGATCTGTTTCAATTTTTAACAACTAAAATAAATATTAACTTTAAATTGAATGCATAACCTAAAAAATTCTATGAGTTTTGTAATGAAGAAAATAATTATTCTTTGTGGTGTAACGAAAAGTAACACGAGTGAAAGTAGGTTTATACATATTCTCTACCATTTAAAGTGCTCGATACATCTCGCTCTCGCACTTCAAAAACATGGTCTCAAATCAAATTAATGACTCTCTATACTCTTATTATGAAATATAATAATGTGTTGTTATTCTTATGTACCTTGAAAATGTCTATTCCTTCTGTAGGCCTACATGGTCAATGGCAATAAAATATTCTTATTCTTATTATTACCTATGCAATATTAACAATCCACTTGAAACACAATAACAACGTTAGTACTATTTTGTGTTCATTGGTATTACTGAAAATAAGAACATGTTCAAAAGCATGTTTATACATTGAAATAAATACGATAATCTATATTATAGTAATAGGCAAGCATGTTTCTTAAAAAAACCTTTTTTCTCAGCTCGTGTGCATCGCAGGGAAAATATACGCATACTGTTAGAGACATATTTTCTTGTAGGCCTATATGTGCAGAATCCCTTTTTTTAAAGTTAAAATGGGCTCAAAATAAGCACAGAAATAAATTCAACCTTTAAAAAACTAACATTTTGCATTATGGGGTGACGAAATAACAACGATATTTAAACGTAAAATAAAAAAAAACTGTAAGACTGCTACACAATTATCACACACATGTTTTATTTACAGCATGGGTAAAAATACATACAAGTCCGTGCATTACCATAGATAAAACATTCGGCTACCTAGTCTGTGACATTACATTATATTTGCTCGAGTAGGTAATTTCTACCACTGAACGACCTAATAGTTTTCATCAAACCAAAATAGGGGTTTCGTTTCTTATACATTCACTAAGAAAAGGGGTGTGCATCTACTAACTTAATCCAATTCACTTTATCTCTCTACAGAGAAGCTAAAGAGTTAGCATTTATCTTATTTCATAGAATGCTCTACTCCATCATCAGCTTCTTGCTTGCTTTTCAGCAGGCTTGGCTAAACAAATTTCATATAACCTACCACTTTCCCAAAACGATTTATAGGTATTTGACTCTAATTATTTTACTTTATTCGTGAAAGAATAATTCAGTATCCAGAAGTCAATGCTGGAGTTTTATTTGCGGCTCTGTTTCCAGTAATGTAGACAGGCGTACAGCACACAATTTTAGATGTAAAAATTTACTGACTGAAATAAATAGTAGGAGAGGGGCGTTGATGACCAAAGTGCCTTTAGTGCCTATTTAGACTAGAGCACTGAGAATCTAAAAGCAAAATTGTATTTATCTGCAGTGCATGCACGACCAAGGAAGTCACGTCTGCCTCGTGGTCTCAATTTGAATGTTTCAACTGTCAATCACAGTAGTTCCTTCAACATGGACACATAATCAAAGATCAAATACAATTTATTATTCCTGTCTATGAAGAAGAGCGGATTATAAAAATTGTTTTGACAGCGCAACACAAAAATAAAAATAATAGGACCAGTCTTTTCCTATTATTAAACATTTTTGAATGGAGGTGTAAAGTTCATTTACGCTCGCCCTTCGGTCCTTGGGGGTAGTGTGTGTGGGACTCACACTAACCATCCAGCCAGACGACCCACTAAAAGCACATTCCTCTCCACTTATAGTAACGGCAAGACGATCACAGCGTTTGACAGAAATCCTCCGCATCTGCTGGAATTATATATTTGTACTGTGACAATCAATTTAAGAACATAGCGGCTGATTTTCCAGTCTCAGTTCTAGGTTAGTACATTGTTTAAGGATAGGATGTTGGACTAAGGCCTGGCCTGATCATTCAGTTCGGTCACCCAGGTCGTTACTAGACTTGACCTCACCTCACGTAGGCTAAGAAGCTCAGTTGGATTAAGCATTTCATATGTTCCTCCAGCATAAATGACGCAAAGTCAAGTAGTCACTCAGTCGGTCAGAAACCCAACTGCACAGCGTGTATCGTATATCCAAATCGACCAAATCCAACTCTGCATATAGCTCCCTTTTGAGCTATAATATGTCACTGTAAGCTCGCTTTACTTTTGTGTAATACAAACCAGGGGACAAACAGTCGTTTACAAGCAGATTTTATGTTTTAAACCATGTATTTAGGTGAAATATTGTAAAAAAGAATATTAAACACCAATAAACTACACTTACAGGACAGAAAAGTTCCTTAAAATTAATTTTTAAACTGATCATTAAGGCAATATAAGCAATATATAAGAGAATATATATTCAATCGCTCTTAGGTGAGAACACTCTGTCTATGAAAAGTAATGAGGCAATGTTGATCTTAGGTGAAAAACATACTCTTACATAACATTATATGATTAAAATCACTTCTTACTTATACTACTTACTTACTTACTTTCTTATAAATGCAGTAGAGCTTCATGGAGAGACCTCCTGGCACAGCCATTAAAGTTGCTGAAAAAAATAAGTACATTGTTTCTTTTTGTTCTTCTCTAATCTGTCTGTCAGTTGCGTTGCAGGTTCTCATTGTCAGTCAATGTTCTAATGTCAAAAACAAAACCATCATGAGATTTTGATATAGGCCTAGATATAAGTTAAACTATTCAAAATCGTTACGAAACGAAGTGTTATTGTTTTTGACATCAAATAAAAAAATCTAGAACACAACGAATTTTCGTGAATTCTTGAGGTCTTCTACTTCATTTTTATTTTTGTTGGCTGTAGTGTAGTAGTATTTACGTTTCTAAAGGGATTTTAGGTTAGGGTTAGAGTAACAAGTAACTAGTAACTTCAACTTGCCCCATAAGTAAAGTAGGCTACATTTATTTGCAGGCATCCTGCATGGCCTTGAAAGAAGTTCTTATTTTGTGCACGAAGGTATTTATTTAATTATCAAGCAGTTTATTATTATTAGCAGCATATTATTAGAAGAAATTTGAAACCATGATTAACTGAATAGGTAACTTACTGTTAAGAAATCAGTTGATTAACGAAATAGGCTACCTTATCTAACTAACTTATCTTAAGTTAGTTTGTGTTTTGTTAAGATTGGCCTAAGGCCCTGTACACATGAGGGCGGCAGCCGCCGCGGTGGCCGCAGCGGTGGCCGCCTAGGAGCGTACACATGGCAGCGGTTGGAGCCGCGGTTACGCTGCAGTTGCAGTGTGAATTGACCGTCGCTCGACAGCCAGTACTGTATTTACCCAATTATTTTTCTTTTAAACGCGTAACGCTTGACAATTCTTTTCAGCAAAAAACTCAAATAACTCTTGCCACGCATTCTTTTTTAAGTTTATGTCCTAAACGTATCTTCTTTTTGTACTTCTTTAATGGACAGTTCAGTGTCAAAGTTTTTCTGGTTCCACAGCAGCACGCATGGCCATTGTTAACTTACACTACGAGCACTACATCAACTCCAGCCACAGCTACACACTTCACCAACACACAGAGAGAGAGAGAGAGAGTGATGTCCACAGGGCAAGCGCGCACATGTCTGTGATCCTATAGTAGCAACTGCAGTCAACCGCGGCGGCTACCGCCCTCATGTGTACGCTCTCATTCCAACTCTAGTAACTTCAACCGCACGGGAGCCGCGGCGGTCGAAGGGAAATCTACGACCGCCGCGGTTCGTTGCGGTTGATTGGAAGTGGGCGGTTGCATGTGAACGGTCCCATTTGCTCCTTTGAACTTTCAACCGCCGCGGTTCCCGCGAAATAGCAACCGCGGCGGCTGCCGCCCTCATGTGTACAGGGCCTTAGTCATATGCCTAGGCTGATTCCTAACCTCAGTTGATGAATATAAGGGTACAGTTTCCCAACTGGGCTAAGTTATGCCAATATCGATTGAAACTATCGATTCAATGAGTGAACCTTAATTAGATTTTTTAGCTATCAGCAAGTTTGGTTAAATAGGTTAGGTTATTACAGTTTCATTTTATAATTGATATAGTTAAAAATATTGATTATTAATCAATATTTTCAATTCTATAGTTTCAATCGATATTAAGTAAGCATAGCCCAGTTAAGAAACTGTACCCGAATATTATGTTTATGCTAGGCTACGCCGTCAGCTGAAAAATCTGATAATTCTGCCCCCATTACATGTATGGTCACGGACTTTTTTGTTTAGGCATCTGGGCCTTAACATAAATGCAAGCCAACTCGACATTCTTCCCATTAAATTTTGCAAATCACAACTAATAGCTCTCTAATCGGCATTCCTTCTATCCCCCAAGCCGTTATATGGTCACAGACTTTTTTATTTTAGTAATTTTGTCTGGGCCTTAACATAAAATGTGTAATTAAAGCTGGTAACAAACATCTACAATTTGAGGGTTAAATTTAAGTAGAGGGTAAGTTGGTGTTTTTAGTGTAAAGGGTGTTAAGATTTTATTTAATGCCAATAATTAGGCTAGGCCTATTCCTATTTGTTTTAGGATACATTATGAGTTTTGTAATATCTTTGTGCCACTTCTGCGACCAACATGGACCCAGTGTCCTTCAGACTTGTTATTCCTCAAGTCAGGACGAGGAACTTGTAAATTCAAATGAAACATCGTGTCAGGTAAGTTACCTACTTCTTTATAGTAAATTGACTTCTGCTCATCAGATGCAGAAGTCCTATTTTGCTTGGAGCGATTGCAGCGATAGTAGTTGGGCACTGTTCTAACGGAGTTTACGTTGTCCTGTTTGGCTTAGAGCGACTGTCGCAAGAGTCGCTAGCTACAGTCGCGGACCACTGCTTGCGATAATCGGGCCACGACTGATTCGCAGCGACACATGCGCAGAACCTCAAAACAGTCCAGTTCACTCAGTAGGCACATTAATATGGGTTAAAATAGCCATAATTTACTTTTTTGTTCACGTTAATTTTTCTATTCATGTGCTGTTACGATTGTACTGTTTTGGTTATATTTCCTTACACATTCATTTAATTTATTACATTAAATTGTAGGAGAAACAGGCGACTCTTTATTTCCAGCAAACTTTGCATTGTCATTGCTCAAATGGTTGTGTTACATGTAGGCTAGTAAAAATATCTATTCGAATTGAAATATAAAATGCTTGCCTGTTCCAAGTTAACTATATGTGTTTTTTAGTTGTGGGTGTTAAACTGTTAAGTTCTTACTGTATCAGTTTTTGTATGAATAAATATTTTTATTTAGACTCCAGGTTTTATTTTCCGACATTCATGTAGTATTATTGATCACTAACTATTTTTTTATTGATAGGCCATAAATATATTTTTTTAATTGATATCACTACAGTTTTCTATTTATATCCTATCTAGTGACGTCTAGTGATACATATCCGTCCCAAATCCTATGTATCACTATGTATTTTCTATCGATTGTCCACTGATACTTCCACTAGGGTCAAGTAAAGCCTCGTCTTCTAACTCCTCACTGAGGAGATACTTTAAAAAGTTACAACATGCACTCATGACTTAACCATTGTGAGTGCTGGTATTCAACTAACTATGAAAAATCGCGCCAGACCGAAAATCAATCGCTCTAAGCTAAACGGCCGCCGTAACAGCGATAGTAGTATAGAGCGATAATCGCTGTGCGACTATCGCACCCCCCAGAACCCACTGAGCCAAAAAAGAAACGTTACATTTGAATCTAAGTTAAGTTACTATGTTAGTGTCTATAACAGAAACTAAGGGCATGCTAGTTGTCCATGGCTTTTGGACTAGGCTAGTCGTTGAGTAGAGGTGGGCGTTATTTAACTTAATGGGGTAAATAATAATAATACAGAAGAATGATATATTACAGCTTATGACATCTCAGCTGACACATAGCCTAGCATGAGCAGTGTAGATGGGAGGAGGGTGGAGGTAGGGAGATGTCATTTTCGCCGAGTGTAGTCCAGTTAAACCAATGTCCGGTTAAAATGTGTCGGGATAAGAGGGAGACTTCTGTAGTGTGAAACTTAAAATCATATTATTTTTGTAACGGTGTCTGAACTGTTAGCACGAGCGAGTAAAGTAACGCTGACCCTGTAATCCTTTTAATTAATAGTGATCCATATATATTTGATAATAGTAAACCCTTAATAGGCCTACTGATTTACAGTACCTACCATACGTGTAGCCAAATGTTAGACTAAGCTAGACTTAAAAGTTAGTGGCAGAAATATAAAATGTTTTGAGTGCCCAAAGATATGGAAACATATCAGTTTCTAGAGTAGGTCTAATACCTTTACCAATATTTGCTTGCTTCACATTCTGTCCACTCTATTAATTATTTATCTGTTGTAAGTGTGTTCAGTAATATTTATTAGATTAGCCTAACTTTCAGAAAAAAGAAAGTAACTTAGCCTAAATAGTTAAATGCCTTTTATCTTAAGTTAACCTAATTTATCTATTTAGGCATGCTGCATGGGTGAGAGGTACATCAGTACAGACAGAATGACTGGCACTCGATATGTCAGTTGTAGACTACCAGCTCAGCGTCAGTCTCTGGTGTCGTGGCTCAGTCATGTGTGTGTCCGGAGCCTCAGCTGTGAGGTGAGCTCTGCTATAGCCTATGTTGGTAGAAACATTGTTATTCTATGGAGTAGAATAACAACTTACTAGTTTTCCCAACTAGGCCCAGGACTAGTTGAGGAGACGTCCTGTTTAAATTGCTGTGAATTATACTTTGAAAGGGTGTAATCAGTAGGCAAGGCCAATATTTATAACCATTCCTTAATTAACCATTCCAGCACTTCCAGCTACTAAATCTGTCTGAAATAAATCCCCATAGGCCTAAATAGGTTGATTTTTCACTAAGAAGTAATGAGTCCGAATTTCTATTTCTTCAGTAGTTTAATTTCTTAAAGCTATTTGTTGGATTTTCTCGGTTTTGTGTTGAGAACAAATCTAACCATACCTACCGAAAAATTATGCACTTGCATTTAAGGGAGATCAAATAGAAGTAAGGTTGACAATTAATCCAGGAGTATTGTTAGAGAGTAAAGACAGTCAAGCGGATACACCTCTTTTCCAGTATTTTGAAACATTAACCATTTCATCAAAGCACATCAACAAACAACAAATGAATTTATTTCTTTTAACAAGAAAACATTATTTTCAAAAAGTTGTAGTATTTGCAGGAAGAACAACGATCTTTGTCGATGCAGCATGCTTAAAAATAAAACAAAACAATGGTATTTTCTAAAGAAACTGTATTAGACTGAAATCTGACTAAACAAACAATAACATCCATCACTTAGTAATCTAGCTGAACATGGTTTACCTGTTCGATCCTAAGAAAGGTGTGACGGTGCAATTACGTCCTGGGACAAGATTGTACTGTCCGCCTCGGATAGCTAATCTAATTGAGTAAGTCCAGAGTAAGTAGTAATACTAATAGTATTTAGTTTAAATGGCTCAGATATGGTTATTAAGCACCAGCCTTCAGTAAATGACACATTCATCACTGCCCGGGTTAAGCTTTAATAAAAAAAATTAGAATAATTGGTGTAAATTCCGTGAGTGAAATAACTTACTGGTCGTAACTAACTGAAATTGTTTACTTCGAAAATAAAACAAATTTTTACTTAATGGATACCGTGTTTCACTTTTAGAATTAAAACCAATGACCCTTAAAAAAACCGAATCAATTAAATCGCGGGTCCACGGGCTATTTTGCCCTGATTCATTTTCCGGGCTGTTCCACCCTCGACCTATGGTTTCGCGATGTATACGGATCCAAGAGCTATTCTGTCCTTGGCCTAACACCTAGTGTTCGAATCTACCAGAGTTATTCCACCACTGGTTCAATTACCGGGCTATTCTGCCCTCGCTCTATGGTTTGGCGATGCACTCCACTCCACTTACCAGGGAGAGATGTAGCTAGCTATTCGCTCAGCGTTCGACTGACTGTCCCCTGTCCTGCACAGCTTTTATAAGGGTCGCGACACTAGCGCAGTGCGTAGCTGCTCGGAGAACTAATGACCCCGCGTGGGCCATTTGAAATCGTATGAACACTAGTTTTCTCTTGTAATATTTGTACCATTACAATTTACAAAGGTTAGTAGCTTTTTGATGGTTCCAAACTGGAACAAACTGTCCTTGATCATTGGGCTTTTAATAAATGTTCCTGGCTAATGAAAAAGCTGAGCTTAAAGCTCAGTAAAGCTACACAAGTTGTCTTATTTCATTTTACACTCATTTTTAAATCCCATTTAGGTTACAATTTGCAACTAGGTGGTTATAATAATGAAAAGAATCAAAATGAAAAGCCACAGATACAGAACTTTATTACTTTTCATTGGAATGGCGACCATACAAAGTAGGTATTTTAAGCCAAGTATGAATGGTGATGAGTTTAGGATGAGTGGCGCGATCTTTTAGTCTTGTTAGTGACTAAGGCTGACATATTCCTTAGACTCAGCTGTTAATTAATCATACAGTTAATGGCAACTAAGTTTTTTAATGGCAGTTATAGGTTGTAGTGGAATCCAAACCACATTTTTGCCTTGGTATTAACAAATTGGTCCAACTATTAGGATAGTACAGCGGACAGGGCCGGATTTAGCATTTTTGCGCCCCTAGGCCCAAAACAATTTTCCGCCCCCTAGTCTGGTCCCAGTTACTTTCTTTCAAACCTTTATTAAAAACTATATCACGACTATAGGCTTAAGTTAATTGCTTGAGTATCACTCTTCGTCGGAATCGTTGCATTGCAAGTTTTTTTTAAGAATTGACTTGTTTAGCATTAACAAAATGCCGTCTTAAACACTTTTAACAAATTTATGCCTTTACTAAATGCTCACGTTTGTGGCCGTGGCCGCCGTGGGACTGAACTGAAACAAAACAACTCAACTCACCGAGCATTCATGCAAAAAAAAACATGGCCATTGATTCCAATTCAGGGTCAAAAACATGAACTCCATACAGTACGTGATACCATAGATTAAACATACTCCTTTAGTAGATTTGTCATCGTTTTGGATTAGCCTAGCTGAAAACAATTCTTTTTATTTAAGGAGTATGTTTTATCTATATTTAACCCTAGTTTATAAAAAAAAACAACAATCTAATCATTAAAAATTGGTCGTCTCCTGTTTATATTAAAATAAATTAAAACCCACATCATAGAACTAAACCAAAAATAATAGAAACAAAATTACGTGATAACTAACATCAAGTGTCACCAACATAAACTAGACATTGACAAATTTTGAATTAACAATGTCATAAGAAGTCGACTTGAGTGAGTTACATTTAACCTATGGTTGTACTGCATCTAGGCTTTGACTATTCAATGATCTAGGTTATATTTCCAAAGCAAAACAGAGCAATATTCCGGCCAACAATACCGATTCTTAGGTCTGAGGAGAAAATTACAGCATTAATGGTGCTTTGAAGGGTATTGCATTTTTCTAAAATCTAATGCAAACTGAAATTAATATTTTTTCGTAAATTTTAAAGGTAAATTCATTGTTGATTTGATATTCATCACACCGTATTATATATTTTTATTAGTTAATAACTTTTGTTTTGTGAAGTGAGGGTGGTAACAATGTCTACCACGCATGCCCCCCTAATCACTCTGATCAGATAGTACCGAGCCTGAGCCAGCATAGTGGCAGTGCAGTGGCAATACGATGCGTACCGCTAGGGCAGGGCGCTCGTCAACGTCAACATCCCTACAGCCTACTCCCGTATAACCGGTGTTCGCTACCAATTTTGTAACGAAATTGATGCGTAGTTCCGAAAAATAGTTTAAAATTCCTAACAATTATTTCTTCTTATGAACCTCAGAATCATAACGCTTAAACAGGCAGTTTTTTTTTTATCAACTAAGACTATTTATTTTCATTTTTAGATATAAAAAAATCCTCTCGGTCATGCGCCCTCTGGGACCTTGCGCCCATAGGCCCGGGCCTACCGGGCCTATTGGGAAATCCGGCCCTGACAGCGGATAATCGTAGTACTCACTAGTGCGGACGTTAATCCACACCAGGGAGTATTGCATCCACAGTGCATGCCTATAAATATCCACAATTCGTGACCTTCTAGTAGCTGGATTATAGGACGACGCCACTGTCCCAGTCAATGTGTTTTAACACCAGTAAATCATCCAAAATGATGGTTAGCAATTTAAACATGCAAACTAAAACTAGTTAATGTACCGATACGGGTGAAAATTATAGCTATTGGGTGAATGTAAGTTAGGTCTAACATGGCTCATAAAAGGGGGCACGAACTACTTGATTGTGTGGACTAATGGACTACTCAAGTATGATGTCATCAATCATCAATAGCCTAATCAATCAACTACCGCCTCAAGGTTTATGGTTTATGAGGTTTACCAGAATATGATTTTTGCAGGTAAACCCTTGTGTATTCTGTGAACCGCCCAACTGTGCCCTGTCAATCTCATTCAGCGTACGTGATGCCCAGGCCCGAGGCTTCTATCACTGGCTCAGCATTGTGATAAGCTCGCGTGACCTTACCTTCCTCGCCAGCTGTTGGCCCTTCCTCAGCAAGCAGGTGCAGCACATCGTCACTTGGCTGCAGGACAGAGCAGTGCAGGTAAATGCTAGTGGTAACTAAATTGACTATTTAACTAAGTAACTATTTATTTCAATGTCAACGACCATTTTGTACAAAAGATACATAAGAAATTACATACATGCAACAAGAAGCAGAATAAAACATAATATGTATGAGTGCAGCTGACATGATGATGGGATTACAATGATAGTGAGATAGAGATTTGCATATGTTGTGAAATGACATAAGGTGTAAAATGATAACAATATAAATAACGACAGTACCTATAAATATAAATTAACAACAGTGCAGAAAACAGCAATACAAATTGACAACTGATATGACTAGAACAACAGTGTAAATAAATTAACAACAATAACAACAGTGTAATAAATTAACAACAATAACAACAGTGTAAATAATTTATCAAAAATAACAACAAACAGTGTAAAATTAACAACAATAAAATTTGGTAATAAGGTTAAAACCACTAATTGTCGCCTTGTGGTCCAAAGTTATTCCTGGTGGATTGTGTACATTTCGGTGCAAGCGCCATTGTTGGTTTCGTATAATAACTAAACTTTCTTGAAGAGGTGCGTAGAAAGTTCACAATACAAAAATACATGAACACTGGTCAACCATTATTTAACATTGTTTTTACTTTTTGCTTCACGTGCACGGGCAGGATATGGAGGCACGCCAGACGTGTGTTGAGACTCGACTGAAGATGGGAGTTGGTCGTGATCTGACCTTTGTCTCGGTAACATGGCTAGTGCAGCATTGTTTCTTCTATTGTTTAGTTGTATTATGGTTTCGAAAAGAATGATGGAATGCAGGGTGTTTTTGTCAATTAACACGTTCAATTGATATAGTCGCGTCACTCCCACCACATTAGTTCAGTATGAGCTCAGCTATTGCCGGGGAACGTTATAATCGTTGCCAGCCTGAAACTTAGAATGTGAGCTTTATTCTGGTGTAGATTGGTCCTAAAATTTCCCGTAAAATCCCATCTGGCAATGCTTTTGTTCCGGTTTTGGGGATTTTCTCTCTTCGAGCCACATTACAAAGACCCTACGCATCCAGGCAGTGCTGCTACCTTTGAGTGTTTCAGTGAACTATGTCCACTCTCGGAGTAATGCAGCACAATCACCGCTGCTCTTTTGTTATTCGTCTGACTAAAATATTTTAATGCCAATTGCATTCGCCGATTCGGTTGCGCTCTGTGGCTTCGCCCAGGCCTCCCCGCCATTGGCGAGCGCCGGTTTAAAGGTATGCCGCACTGATCATGTTAACAGGTTGTTTGTGTCAATTTTAGAGGCTCTGTAAATTTTGAATGGTTCCAATACCGTCTTTATTCGGCCTTTTTGAAAAATATATAGGCCTAAGGGTTGAAAATTTTTTGATAGTACCTGGGGACCGAGCTATGGCTCGGTATGTTTATTTTGGTTAACATAAGGTTAACATGGGAAACTCCAGAGCCACTGGGGCGGAGCCGATTGGACGGATCACGAAATTGATGGTGTATAAACCTATTCCATGAAATTCTACACGTATGTACCAAGTTTCGTGGCAATCGGTTCAGCGGTGTCTGAGTTTATCACTGCCAAATATATATATATCTTACTAATATTATAAATCTGAAAGTTTGTGAGTTTGTGTGTGTGTTTGTGTGTGTGTGTGTTGCTCAATCACGCATAAACTACTGGACGGATTGGGCTGAAATTTGGCATGATGATAGCTCACATTCCCGATTAACATTAAAGCATATTATTATCCCAAAAATCCTATCGGGCTCCGCCCCAGTGGCTCTGTAGTTCCCCATGTTAACCTTATGGTTTTTCATATTTAAAAGGAATTAATGAATCTTAACAGCTGTTTCAATTAAACAAGTTGGTTCTGTCCTATGATGTCCAATAGCATAAAAGTTACAAGGATTACCAACAGGGTGCAGCACTATTATTTTTTTTTTAATTTATGACAACAGCTAATTTCCAACCAAAAGGTGAGTGAGCGTAGCGAACGAACTTCAACCTGGAGGCGAGTTAGCGTAGCGAACGAGCTAACCTGAAGGCAAGTGAGCGCAGCGAACGAGCTCCAACCTAAAGGTGAGTGAGCGTAGCGAACGAACTTCAACCAGGACGTGAATGAGCCATGCAAATACTTATGAAGTTAAACGGGGCAAAGCCCGCGGGTACAGGTAGTATATATATATATATATACAAACATCCTCTTTTATACTTATAGAAGATATATTTAATCCTTACCGTCCTCGCAATCAGCAGTGATACTCCACTACGGCCGTTTTCACACAATTTGTCACATCCACGAATCATTTATTAATGTCTATCAATCAACTTACTTAATCAAATTAGCTTAATTCCATCATCCAAACATAACTTGGTAAATGATTGTGAAATAAAAACTTTTCTAACCTGCTAATGATTCATTGTGATTTACAGGTGTACAATGTTGAACGGCCATTCAGAGACAGCAAGCCGTCCCAGTCTCGGCCCCTGCCTCAGCTAGTCAAATACAAGGCTGTCTACGCTAGGTATGTGTTACTAAGAGTTAAATAGACTATTGTTCAAATAAGAGACTGGTGTTCATAATTTAAGAGTAAAAACTGTTAAAACTAGTATAATGTAATGATGTTTATAGGCTTTTAAATTAAAATCAAACTTTTCCGAGTATTCTATACCCCCCAAGGAGACCAAAGGGATGCCAAATAACATAAACTCTGAGTGCTAACACAAATACTTTGAGCTCAACTGTGTCAAAGTATGTTTCTAAAGCCGTTTAGTCTCCGTGACAGTTTCAAAAAATAAAAATAATGTAAAAATACTGTAAACCAATGTAGTTTTTGATTTTTGTCTAAAATACAGTTATTATAGCATAACCTTGACTCTTTGGGTGACTTGGAATGGCTAATGGCTATCGTTATAATACAGTGGAACCTCGATTAACCAGGTAATCAGGGGGGAGAGGGGGGCACGGATAACTGAAAACCACGGTTAATCCAAATGAGAAAGAGAATACAAAACGATTTGCACAAAAACCCCCTTATTTATTTATTTATTTACACAGTTACAAATTTAGAGTTATTTAATTTTTCGCCAAAGCCCAGAAAAACATATTAGATGGTCTAACTAAGTATTGTAATTCAGACTGGAGAAAAGAAGTCCAACATTGCTTCTTGCTTTGGTGTTCTTTCTGAGCAATATTGGAGTGTAACTTCCGCAATACTAGTTTGTCAGAAATCATGCTGCTGCCTTGTCCCTCCAAATATTCCATTAAACAATTGGGATGATTGTGTGTGGCGCGGGAAAAGTCTACGGTTCCTCTTTCTCCCTCTCCTCCTTCGACATCGTCTTCCTCTCCTCTCGCACAATTTACAATCTCTTGGTGAATCGCAATTTCAAATGCTGGCAACTCACTATCACATCAAAATCATTCCTGAATATTTTCTTCATCGATATTTTCACCTCCTGGGACATTTTCATTTTGGCCATCTGTGCGGCTGACAGAATCCAGTCGTTGTCAGTAAAACTGAGGAAGCCTTCATCTTCACTGATGTCTGGAAATATTTTTCCCCACGACCTGATAAGATTTTTTACTATGTCCCACTCCAAACAAGACTCATAAACAGCCTCAAGTAGAGTCAATGTCAAAAATGTCCTCAGATTGTCTTCTTCCTCCCCAAACCTTTTGAGCTCTGCGGTTCTTTACAGCCTTTTGAGGCTCGCAATTATCCCCTGGTTCATTGGCTGTATCAAAGCGGCTAAAATTTGGTGGTAAATACTTAACTAAGGTGTTGCCATCATCAGTCTTGAGTGTAAGTTTGGGAAGGGGGGGGGGGTTCAGTCAGCCCTTTTGACTTGTCCTGCACTTGTGGTACCATCTTTTTGTTGAACCATTCTTTGAACATGGCCTGGTTCATTCAGCCTTTTACTGGATTAAATTAATTAACTGGCAAGTTTTTTTGCTTCCGTTCCTTTAAACTATTGCAGGTTTTTAGATTTTCCGATGACGACGGGTTGCACCATATTTATCTCCACCTAAAGCCTTGCCTTGAATTTCCAACTCCCGGATGCCATGTCTCTGCTTGAAACGATAGAGCCAACCACCAGATAATGCCCCAAACTTTCCTTTGATACCCATAGCTTCAAAAAAGAATTTTACCTTTTCAGTACAAACTACAACGTTTATGGGCTACCCTAAAGCACTTAGCTGTGGAAACAAATCGAGCATGGCTTTGTCTAAGTCATCGTAAGTCGATTTCTTAGTTTTTAAATTTTTTCCAAGCAGAAGCTGAGTCTGCTGAACTTGCAAATTTCAACAGTTCTGCCCTCTTTTTTATGATGTCCCGAACAACGTTTTTGTACCCCAACACCCATCAGAAAATGATTTCACAGTCTTACCACAGACAATGGAAACCCAGACGTATCACTGCGCGATGCGTAGGGCCCCGTCACATCCTGCCTCTAGCGGAGAATCGAGGAAACACGCAGTCTCGCGCTCGCCTCGCCAGTCGCCGGCATGGTCGGCGGTCGCTGGCTTGCAATTAATTGCAGCACCAGCAGTTCAACTCAACGCCAAATTCTCGTCTATCATTCCTCCTCCACAACTCGCGTGGTTCACCGATACCATACTCCCTACGACTACCCGTGCATCCATCTGCCTGCGGACAGCATTTATTTTTCATTGTGTGATTATTTTAATCACATTTGCGACGAAGTTTAGCAATAAATTAAACATGGTGTTCAAAAAAGGTGGGGGACATATTTTACCTAGTGATTCCTTGGGTAAAAATAAAGAGAAAATGAAGAATAATTTTTTCTAAAATTGCTTCGTTACCAAAATATCCGCCATTTTGTATTTTTGACATACACTTTTTTATATTTTAATGTTTTTTACTGATTTTTATGAAACTTGGTATGCATGTTAAGGTAGAAAAGACCCGTGTTAGAAAAAAAGTTCATCTAGATTCAACCTACAATTTCAAAATGATGGCCATTAAAACATTTAAGCTTAAATTAGTCAAAACTGGCTGGTTTTTTGAAAATATTCCAAGTACAATTTTAATTATCTATTATTTTAATTAGTATTATTTTAATTATCCTTTAGCATTTTTAATTATCTATCAAACGATACCAAGTTCAAAAAGATCAAATAAAAAATAGCTGAAATATTATAATTTTTAGTTGTAAAAGGGGCAAACCTGACTATCTTATGCATATATTCTACCCCATTTCAGCAATAAAAGTTTTAGCAATAAATTTTATTCAGTCTGTAGTACTGTAATAGAGAGGAGCGAAGCGAAGCTTGTTGGGATCGGCTTCAATACAAACTTCCATAGACACAAAACAAAAACACAAATCACTCAAAATGGCTTAACTTATTTTAGCCAAACTTTCCAAGATGCTTTGTTTCCACAAATAGGAATTCGGAAGATTTAAGACCAAACAATTAAAATTTTTGATAATCACAAGTTGGTTGAATAACAATAATAATGAAAATATGTATACAATAAATGTCACATTGACCAATCTAGGAAATAATCTATACTATTATATAAAAATCTAATGGTGTCTGTCTGCATGTGTATTAGTAATAGGTGCAAAAACTACTGAACCAACTGGGCTTAAATTTTACAAAAATATAGCTATCATACCAAGAACCATTATAGGACTATTCACATTTCGATACTGACCGTAGGCTTTGCCCCTTTGGCTTTAAAAGTTCTGAGGTGAACATTTTAAAAGTAAATATTGATTGGTCTCCATGGCTGCGATGATAACTCTAACAATGTTTGTTTACATTTGCTTTGACATTTAAATGTAAACAAAAAGAACTGCTAAACTGCATATTTCACAATTTCAGACAGCTGATTCAAAGAAATTAAATATAATATTTTCCATAACTAATGAGGTAGGCTTATTTTAATCTAACCTTTTATCATGGATTATTTATTCTAAAACTATGTCAATCATTATAGGAAAAAATATTCTATAACCGTTGCTGTATCAACTCTGGCTCTGCTTTGGATTTTTTAAAGCGTCTAAGTTATGAAAATAATGTTATTGATATGTTTTTATGGAAACAGTATGAAAATTACAATGTATAGATGTTTTGTGTGAATTTGGAGGCTACTTCAAACAAATTCTAACTGCTTAACATGTGTTTGATTAACTTAACATAACTTGCACATCACATTGTTTTTTATATGTACAATATTTAGGTACTGTACATTAAGTTATTGTGTTTTGCTAAACCCATGCTTAAATTAAACTAAAGAAAATCATCAATAACTAAATTGTACGTTGATTTTTGTTTTCAAAAATATGTTGTATATGTGTAACTATATTTAATTATCAAATGGTAGTACAAAATACTCTTATTTTATCTTAACATAGCTTTCAGTTAACATTTACTTTATTTGATACACTAGCTGTTACCCACGGGCTTCGCCCCGTTTGACTTCATAAGTATTAATAATACTATTTTCTACACTCATCTCCATTCATACTTGGCTTAAAATACCTACTTTGTATGGTCGCCATTTCATTGAAAAGTATTAAAGTACCTATTAAAAGTATTAAAGTATTTGATTGGTTAAGTTAAGCTAAAATAAACAAAACAGTAATATAAACAAATAGCTGTACCTGCGGGCTTTGTCCCGTTTAACTTCTTAATTTTCAAGATGATCACGTTCACATAAAGTATTAAAGTATTTGATTGGTTAAGTTAAGCTAAAATAAACAAAACAGTAATATAAACAAATAGCTGTACCTGCGGGCTTTGTCCCGTTTAACTTCTTAATTTTCAAGATGATCACGTTCACATGGCTTAATCACGTCCTGGTTGAAGTTCGTTCGCTGCGCTCACTTGCCTTCAGATTAGCTCGTTCGCTACGCTAACTCGCCTCCAGTTTGAAGTTCGTTCGCTATGCTCACTCACCTTTTGGTTGCAAATTAGCTGTTTTCATAAATTAAAAAAAATAATAGTGCTGCATCCTGTTGGTAATCCATGTAACTTGAATGCTATTGAACATCATAGAACAGAACCAACTTGATTAATTGAAACAGCTGTTAAGATTTATTAATTCCTTTTAAATATGAAAAATCATAAGGTTAACATGGGAAACTCCAGAGCCACTGGGGTGAAGCCCGAGAGTCCTATCAGAACAAAAACAACTTAGTTTTCCTATTTAATGCCTAAAGAATCAGTGTACCAAATTTCAGCCTCCTAGGTAAATGGGAAGTGGGAGAATTAGTGATGAGTGAGTGAGTGAGTGAGTCAGTCAGTGAGGGCTTTGCCTTTTATATATATAGAAGATTTATTATTTGTGTTTTGCCACACCACTTATTAAATTAAAACAAGGAAAATATCATGAAACTAAGCAGTGCCATTGACTATTGGATACATAAGTTGATACAGTTGTTGTATTAATAGTCAAAGGCAGTACACAGTGTTCTTTTGTTTTTAAAATCAATGAAATATCTGTTAGTATGTTTACTTAATGGTAAGTGTGAAAATGTAAAGGCAATATGG